TACTCGTATTATTAGGTTCATACTATCTTATCATATATTATTTTGCCTCACAAATTCCGACAAATACTTCTGATGTCATTAAATATATTGTAAATACTTTGTTCTATTCATATTGTGATATACTCTTCTGATATTGTTAGTTTCGCCTTATTGTAGTATATTGTTTCCCGTCTTATTATGACCCAGTCTTTTTAACAGTATTGAATTTAGTCTTATTATAAATACTTTGTTCTATTCATATTGTGATATACTCTTCTGATATTGTTAGTTTCGCCTTATTGTAGTATATTGTTTCCCGTCTTATTATGGCCCAGTCTTTTTAACAGTATTAAATTTAGTCTTATTATAAATACTCTGTTCTGTCCATATTGTGATATACTCTTATGATATTGTTAGGTTTAGTCTGATTGTAATGTAGTGTTTTTCTGTCACTTTGTGAGCTATTATGTTGAAGCTTTTAAGCTTAGTCTTGTTTTCATATAGTTTTTGACGTTGTATTTTGATCCAGTGTTCTGATGCTGTTAAGTTTAGCTATAATGTGATTCAATATCTTGATATTGTTTAGGCAGTTGTGAAATTGTGATTTACCGTTATATTTCGACCAAGTATTCTGATATTCTTAATTTTAAACTTATTGTAATATATTGTTTTATTATCATATTATGCCTCATTCTTCCGATGTTGTTAAGGTTACTGATGTCGTGATCCAGTCTACTGATATTGTTTAATCTAGGCGTATTGTGATATGATGTTTTGTCATCATATTTCAACCGTCATTTGCTATTGTTGGATTTAGTCTCATTGTGATGTAGTATTTTAGCGACACATAGCAGTCCAATTATATGATATTTTCGATATAATTTTTTGCTGCCACATTTTTACCGTCATCTGATATTGTTAAGCTTAGTTTGATTGTTATATAGTGTTTTACCTACATATAGTGATCCATTGCTCTAATGTCTTTGATTTAAGTCTTATTTCGGTATAATATTTTGGTGTCAAAGTGTAATATAGAATCCTTTGATTTTTCAGATTAATCTTAATGTTTCGCCATCATACCGTAACTGACTCTGATGATGTTATTACGTTTAGCATGATTGTGACATAATGCTTTGCTTTTATAATCATTCTGGTATTTCTAGGTTTAGTCTTATTGCGTTATAATGTTTCCCGAGATATGGTGATTTAGTCTTCTACTGTTATTAAGTTTAGTCTTATGGTGGCCGAAAGTCAGATTTTGCTAAGGTTAATCATACGGTAATCCAGTCTTTAATATTGTTAAATTTAGTCTTGTTCTGAAATGAAGTTTTGCCGTATTAACGTGTTAAAGTCTTCAGACGTTTTCAACAAGTATTACTGTGGTATAGTGACTTGTCTTCATATCATGATCCATATCTCTGATGTTGTTAAGTTCAGTCTTATTGTAATACATCATTTTGCCGTCTTATTGTGATCCAGTCTTTGTGAATATTATTTCGATGCGTTTAAGCTTAGCTTTTTTTAATGTAGTGTTTTGTCTTCATATTATTGTCCAGATTTCTGATATTCTTAAGTTTATTCTTGTTTTAATATATTATTTAGCCGTCTTATTGTGACCCAGTCTTTTGACAATACTAAATTCGGTTTTTTATGTAGTGTTTTGTCTTCATATTATTGTCCAGATTTCTGATATTCTTAAGTTTATTCTTGTTTTAATAGATTATTTAGCCGTCTTATTGTGACCAAGTCTTTTGACAATACTAAATTCGTTTTTTTATGTAGTGTTTTGTCTTCATATTATTGTACACTGTTCAGTTCAGACTTATTGTGAAGCAGTGGCCTAGTTTCTTATTGCAATCCATTGATATTATTAGATTTAGTTTTATTATTGTATAATATTTTATTGTCATATTGTAATTTAGTCTTTTGATACTGTTTAGTCTTAGTGTAATGTAGTATTTTGCCGTTATTTCGTGATCGAGTTTTCTGATATTGTTAAATTTAGTTCTATTATTATAGTGTTTGTTTTTATATTTGTGAGCCTGTATCGTGATATTAGTAATTTTAACCATATTGTGTTATAGTGTTTTTCCGTCACACTTGGCCAGTATACTGATAGTTATCAATTTAGTCTTGCTTTGATATAGTTATTTGCCGTCATATTGTAATACAGACTTCTAATATTGCTTAGTTTTGTGTTATTGCGATATATAGTTTTCTTTCATATTGAGATTCACTATTTTTAATGTCTAGTCCTAAAGACGAATGACGGAAGCAACTCGAAACGTCGTTTTCCACCGACACTCTCGTGCAGAAAATTCGGAGTTTCCAAGGCCGTTGGAATCCATAATCAATCTTCTCTCATCAAGCTTAGTTTTATTGTGATATGTTTTACCGTCGAACTGTAACGTTGTTAAATTAGTCTTACGTTGATGCACCAACTCCATCTAACATGAATGTATTTGTTCCAAAATACATACGTTGTGAATATACCGTATATAACTTTGTAATTCATATTAGCCTTTAATATAATTAAGATCTTGCATAATGAGGTGTTCAGTCTATGCCAATCACTTTCGTGGCTCAGCGTAATAACTTGTAACTAAAAACGTATATTTTATTAATTAATTACATACACCTGTATTGTGAGTAAATTGGTTAAACACTGAAAAGTTTAATTAATTACATTTAGTTAAAGCTGTCGTATTTTTAAACAAATGATTTCAGTCCTAAACCTATCGAAGTCAAACTGAACATTTATCATCCTATAAATATGCTACACAGCAGTTTCTTTTAATACGTTCTACTTATAATTTTGCTATATGATTTCGTGGGTTCGAATCCCCGTCACACCAAACATGCTCGCCCTCTCAGCCGTGG